GAACGATAGGCAGCCAGCATGGAACAAAGATGTGCCACGGCAGCTAAAATATAATTTTAATGGATGATGTATTTGCCACGTGCATATGGTTTGGAATTGACTCAAATTATTTGTATTTGGGTGGCTTCAAGGACCTTACGTTGCTACATTATGGCCATGAGATATTTTTTGACCCTTCTTTTATTTTTTGTAGCAACTTTATAATTGGAGTTTTTTCCATTAAAAAACTACGATTATATCCACAATAACCATAAGTTTATAATTATCCACGAATAATTAACAAGTGTCACTGTCTTTTATACAAAAACATATTTAAACCCAAACAAAAAGCTATAAGCGAGACTTAGCTTATAGTTTACAAAGTATTACGAAGTATATTTTTAATCTTAGTATGTTCTCTTCATAAAATATTTATTGAACTAAAATTATTTAGACTGATTAAACTTATTTCATTAATTTCACTATGAAGTAGTATTACTCCGTGTATATGTTGTATGGTAGTATGGTGATACTGATTTTCTTACTAAATTTATTTACTTTTGTTAAATTTATTTTATCTGTATTTTTTATTGAATTTAAATTGTGAAGTACAATGGTTTCCAAAAATAAAAAAAATAATAAAAATTTATGGAGTACAGGGTAGTTTTTACAGGAGTATAAAATAGGTCCTTTTGATCATCCAAAGGGTTTTACGGAGTGAAATGGCAAAACAAAAAAAAGGGTCCATTGCCCAACCAATTTAGGGCCTAGTAGAAGATCTTTTGGGCCCAAAAAGATCGGTCTCTTGGACGTTGGGCCGCATTTTTTTTGGGCCACGTAGAAAGTGGATCTTCAATCAAACTTCAAAGCTCTAAATCCAAGCAATCAAGCTTGTTTAGCAACAGCAAGCAAATCGTCATCACTTTGCACTTCGTTTGTTAGTTGATTATTGAAACAAATTTGAGATTTGTTCCTAATGAATTAGTTTAGTCATGTATATATATTCAATCATCTATAAGCTAATATTTGGCTTTATTTTTCCTTATGTAAAAATCACAACGGATTATCACATGATACTATGATAGTGTATATAAAAATCCAATTGTTGCAATTGTTAAGTAAAAAGAGTATATCGGTTCCTTTCCCTTGTCAATAGTGCTTAGACTGACCAGACCAAACTACTTTCTATTTCATAGATGAAATTCATATGAAATGCAAAATGCAATAGACTGACTATATATACATATTTTTTGTTAAATGAGCCTAGGACATACCCACCATGAAAGTGGATACAATTTCATTTTTTTCTTCAATGTAGGATACATATTGGTAGTTCAGTACATTCACTCTTATTGTTCATATTTTCTTGACGTGGAACAAAACTTTTACTCAAATGTGGGTTTGTTCATTAGCTCAACAATTTTGAATTTTTTAAGTGAACAACCGTATCTGTCCAGAACCTCTCACAAGGTGATATATTTTGAAAACTTGAATTGGTATATAGAATTATAGACTATATACTCAAGGTCTGCCTCTTTAATTCCGAGCTAATGAGACTTGGAGAGTAATTAAGCAAATCATCAATTTGGCTCATTGTCGTATTTAGGGTTGGCTAATAATACTCGTACATCGCATTTATTTAAATTAAGATTGACAAAATGATACAACTTGGCTTATTATTAAATGCAGATGACAGCTTCTTTCAGTTCTAGTCAACAGATGATTATTCCTCGATCTATTATTCTATTGGGCGTGGAAATAGAAGTAGAATTTTCTCAAATTAATTATCCAACTAATCTAAGTTAATCTAGGTTAGTTTTATGAAATTGACCATGCGACCTAGGTATATCTAGTTGGCACTTGGCCGGACATCTTAACTTACTATCTTTTTTGATGTCAATTCGATTACAAAAATACCAATTTTAGGATTTCTTATACAAGTATATTCATACACTGCATGCACATCATACTTTATATTATAGAATCAAAATTAGGTATTCTTTTTTCCTGCTTATTTGAACTTGTCTCTTTTGAGAATAACATAAAATTACGAAAAATGCTAATAATGACATTGACACGAGTGAGATTTTGAGCATCCATTAAGGCTCACATTGTTTCTTAGTTCTTAATCATTTTACTATATGTATGATTCTAAATGCTCGACTGAGATCGTTTTGCTCTACTTCTATGCGTACATATTAGAAGCACATCAAATCTAGCTAGTCTAAAAAAAAGCATGATAAATTGATTCTATACAGTATATTCCTGTATGTGTACGTTTCCCTAGTAGGTTGAGCTTCCTAGATTATATAGTTAGAGGTCATTGTCTCTTTAATAAAGAAATTAAGTAAGTTTAATTTAGAGTAGGGCATGCACGAAAATTGATAAAATATAGTGGTAGAGACAAGTACTTGATTTAATTAATATTATCATTTTACTGCAACAATGATTAATTAAATGTAATTTACATTACTTAATTAGTCAGCAATAACAAATGCGTTGGCTGTACTTTCTCCCAAGAAATAAAATGCAATTAACAATAGGGAGATAGATACTCACTGTAGATTTTCAATCTAGTACTACTGCTATTACTATTACTGTAATGTACCACTGGCGGAGCTAGGTGGATACAAGGGGGGACAGCTGTCCCCCACTTCAAAAAAAATTTTTTACTTAAAAAGAATTATATGCAGCATAAAGAGTAAGAAAAAGAGTTGGTTTAATGGTTAAAGGGCTTACTAGTTTTCTCTTTGGTCAGTTCAATCCCTTTGTCCAACATTTTTTTCTACTTATTTTTATTTTAAAGTTTTTCCTGGCATCATGTTCTAACTTCTAAATTACCTTAGTAATTTACATAAATTTTTGCTAAGGTAATGGCTATAGGCCTTGTTTGATTCACCTTATTTTTACTAATCTGGTCTGGTCTGATCTGATCTGGTCTGGTCTGATCTGATCTGATTGTCTGATTTGACCAAACTTTGACCTGAAGTGTACGATAATCTATAAGGAAAAAATATATCAAGTGAGATCTTGTTAGATTCGTAATAATGTGTAGTTTATTAATATGTAATTTTCACAATTTTTTTCATTACGAAATTAAGAATATTTAGCGATAAAAAACCGCACATAAAACAATGTTCTGATATTTTTTCTGATCTGATCTGATCTGAACTTATTTTTTCTGAAATAAGTAAAAACAAGTTGAACTAAACAAGACCTAAATAGTACTACTAAAACAAGTTATACTCTAGTAGTATAAAATACATGTATAATAGTATATTAAAAATACCACTATAAGTATAATAATACATTAAAAATTAGCACTGTAACAATAAAAAATCACAAAAATTAAGTGAATTTACCAATTAGTCCTCAGCTCCTATATGCATCCCAAACAAATAGCAGCTATGTGCCTAGTTGCACTCCATACCCACAATTATGAGAAAGGATCCATTTTACATCTCCAAAGAGATTTCATTCCAAAATTATATGATTATAAAAGGAGTAGCTGAGTAGCATGTTAGCTTTATAATATTTCTAACTCTCTCATCTTTTATTAATGTGGGACACTTGTATTGTTTGGAAAAACTTTATTAGACAGGAATGTTTTTTAAGGGGGTTGTACACCATAAGAACTAGCTCGGATATAGCGAGCACGGTTGTGGCACCCCTCTAGCAATGTCTCTATCCGTACCGGAGAGTGTGGATAAGAAGTATGAATAGAGTGTCCCAACAAGCGAGGAAATGGAGATCTAGGAAGGAAAAATGGTGCGGAATCTTCGGCCTAAATGTGCTGAATGTGCACACTGCACACCAAACTAAGTAAACAAAAAAAAAAAAAACAATGTAATTACATTACTATAATTAGGAGATGGATCAAAGTTAAAAGATGTTATAATTCCCAATGAATTAAGGTTTTAAAAAAATAGGAACATATCCCATATATTGAGGCTGGGATTGAGCTTAGTGCGTGGATGGTCTGACCAGAGTGGATGACCTATTTATTTTCGACGTAAGCATAGCTTTTCATGCTGATGTCATATACTCTTTTTATTCAACCCTTCTACTTATTCCCACGCACCTTTATTATTTTTAAGAAATTTTGAAAAATACCATCATCTATTGTTGTCATTTTGTACAATATCACCTAATTTTTTTTTTTTTGACTAATTTTGTATGAAAAATTCAAACATAAAAGATTTACAAACCATAGTCAAAATTAATATATAATTAGTGAAAAATTTATGTCAATTATAATATATATGCTAGTGACTAATTTCGTATGAAAAATTCAATCATAAAAGATTTTAAGCAATTCACATGACTAAGTAGCTATACAAATTAAACTCTCTATAGTATAATACTACTCCGTAACATGAATTTTGATGTTTGGTGCCATCTAGCTCCAATAGATTAGATCAGGGCACATGTCAATGCGGGATTAGACCATGTCATCGTGACATCATCTGACGACACCACTTTACAATCTAATTATACTAATAAGTTTTTGAACTAGTAACTAATGATAATACTATGATTAGTTAGTATATATAGTTTCTTTGTCTTTTTTAAAAAAAAAATTAGTACATATAGTTAATCAAGATTACCAAATTCGAGGTAGCTTAAATAAAAAAATTCAATCTAGCTACTATAAATATTTCTCCTTTTCTTTTAATTTCTAACTAAAACTTAGGAGTAACAAACGCGGATATATAAAATTTGTCGCCGATTTATATAATTTGTATCATCTGAGAAGCACAATACTAATTAACTATGGTTATATTAATAATTGTCCACATAAATTTGGCTGGCTGCCTTCATTTTCTTCTCTTTTCTTGACCTTATCTTACGTTAATAGTCAAGACCGCGTACAATCACACAGAAGAAATGTAAACGAGCCACATTTGACCGTAGAACAAGCCATATATTCTCAAATACTTGGTCTTCTTAACTAGCTAGCTAGCTAATTATTCAAAGGTGAGTAACACTGCACACTCTTTGCTCTTTCTCTCTTTATCATTCTCTTGATCGATCTAGCTATTTACGTTATGAGCATGCTTCTTTAATTAAGATTCGATCCCGGGATCTCGCGAGAGGGTGGCACGACGACCCCCCCAATTGTTGAAGAGCTAGCTAAAGCCATTGCACAACTTGCATTTGCTAGCTAGGCGCCATTGAAAGATTCATCCATATCATTATCCTCAACTTGTGTTTATTTACTAGTATAAGTTTGCAACTTGTGTAGTTGACTCTCATGTTGTCCCTTTTTTTCATTTGTTTTTAATGATCTTATCTTTCCATTTTTGAAGCTATATATATAAGTTTACAATAATTAGTATTTTGTGTTTTAGTTTTAGCTAGCAAGAAAAATATATGAGGTATATAAATATATTGATTGAATCATATATATGTTGGTTTTATAGGGCTTATTTTTGGTAAGAAATAAAGAAAAAGAATGGGGAGCAATGTGAATGATTTGAGTCCAAATAGTTTGGTGAATGTGCTTGTTGAAGGGAGAGATCTTACTAGGGAACTTCAGTTGGGTCTTGGCAACGAGACACACTCATCTTCCAATAAAGCATATGGATTGATGGCTAAAGACATATTGGCCAAATTTGAAAGGTCATTACAGATCTTGCAATATGATCCAATGAACCAGTTTCAATTTCAGCTGACAACTACTGCGACAAATGACTCCCCTAATTTCTTCAGTGGAAGCCCTAAAAGCCTAGATTCTGACGGAGAGTTCAGAGATCCAGCTGAATACAAAGATGACTCCAAAAAGAGGTATGTAACTACCATGTGAAGATTCAATTTGACTGATTAAACTAGATAATTTTCGACAGAGATCTAGTTTAAAGAAAGATTCACTTTTTGTGGTTTCCTATAGTCCTTGACTATATAGGGATAAAGTTGTGTATATCGAGACCTTTATTTACAAACTTTTCTTAAATTTGATTCTTTCTGTTTGTTATTGTATTATTGTTGTTTACTTTTTGTGGATGGATAGGGAGAATCATGATGAAGAACATTAATTTTTGTTTTCTATGTTCATCATTTGTACGTCTTAGTTTTGAAAAACATTACACTTTAGTGATAAAGAAGCTCCCTACCTCAATATGTGCCATTTTTATCATCAAATCGATTTTATTTATCGTGCTTAATTAAATTGATGATCGAATTAATTATGTTATAAACTTTGTATTACAGAAGGGTTTCTCCTCGAATTACACAAAGAGTGCAAGGTTCTACTAGCAGTGGGCTTGAAGGACCAATTGAAGATGGTTATAATTGGAGAAAATATGGACAAAAGGACATTCTAGGAGCCAATTTTCCAAGGTAAGTAAATGTAATCAGTAAATAATTAAGATTACTTAATTATTTATTTAATACTATATTATTGCATATTTTATCCTTATCATCATATGAATGTCCATAAATCAAGGAAATTAAAGCATAACAGAAGCTTCAAATAACAGATATCAATATTTATAATCCGTACTCATTATAAACAGTAGTTAGCAAACTCTGGTTGTAGTAGTCCAGTCACTAATCATGCATGCTTCCAGCTGTTTAAAGAGATTATAAATTGATACCTATCCATGAATTATCAGTGATGACTTATATATTTTTGAATGACATTTTTAAGTACAATAATAATAAAGTTTGCATGATTAATATGTTATCATTATTGCAGACGTTGATTAATATATACTAATTATTGTATCAACTACTCAACGTGCATTCTAATTAAACAAGTCAATACTTTACTTCAATTCCATTAATGAACATAGTATATGTGATTCAAATTAACGGAACATATATGATGTGTTTTTTTTTGGTTGAAAACAAATTTAATTAAACCATTACTGTTACTGTTTAGTTAGAATTGAAGGTTTGGGTTTACAAATGTGGTTTTAGTCAATTTAATTGTTCTTACCTCTCTAAAACCTAAAGTAACATTTACTCTGTCCCTCCTCAAACAAAAGAAACGAAGTTAAAATTACGTGATTCCTTTTCATGGTTAAACCAAACAAATGAAAAGGTAATCTATAGAGTAAAATGATTCCTCCCCCCTCTTATATGTTTCCTTTCCATTTCGTTTCCAATGTTCTTACCAAATGCCACCTAAAGGTGTTTATTAATTAATCTAATACAATAATAATTTATATGATCTTGATATTTGCAGGGCATATTATAGGTGTACTCATAGAGTTTTCCAGGGGTGTTTGGCCACAAAGCAAGTGCAAAGAAGTGATGATGATCCTAGCTTCTTTGATGTCACTTATCGGGGTAAACACACGTGTTCTCAGGCAGCTTCCTCCTCCTCCTCGTCCTCCCACCTTCAAAATCCTACACCCAAATCCGAACCTATTGAAACCCTAATCTACACTCCTCATCAACATCCACATACTCAACAACAACCACAAAAAATCATATGGGATTTTAAAAGAGACAATAATAATGTTGAAGACATCAAACCTATTATTACCACTCATAATAATAATATTATCAACCTAAAAAATAAATGTCCTTCCTTTTCCTTCCCTTCATCCTCTAATCCATTGCTACATCATGGTACTAATAATAACTTTGTTGGTCAAGGAAATTTTCCTACAAATTCAAGTACATACACAACATACCAATCTTCTCAAAGTCTATTATTGAACCACAACTTCAATGATCATAACAATCAAAATAATATTGATGTTGATCATCCATTACAAGGTGCTTTGATTCAACAAAATGGTGTCTATCCATCATCTACCTCGGCTGCTAACTCCCCAACGATTGCATCGGAGCTTTCATTTGATAACCAAGGTGAATTTGATGATGTTTTCAATCTTGAAAACCCAAATTATTATTAATAGAACTTCGTATTTGTTTATGCACATACATTTTTCCATGGACGACAAACAACAATTAGTAGGCCGAGGTACGCTTTTTAATTTGAGTAACGTAGCGATGGAGTAGATCGAATGCATTTGTTTTCTAGGTTTAGTTGAGTGAATGAAAGGCCTCAAGAAAAATTAGATACTTCGTACTAGATACTCCCTCCATCTAGAAGTTTTTTATTGTCTTTATATTGTGTAATTTGAAGTAGTAACGTGACAAATAGGTTTAGATGGCGGTAGTATTGGTATATGTGTCTACCTATTTCCTTCAGTTTCATGATTTAATTTCTAACAATTTTGTTTATGTGCCCACATTTATTTTTTTCCCCTTATTTTTCAATTCAATATTTGATTAGAAATGATTTATGTATTCTTGCTCGGTATGTAGTTCTTGTAAGTTGTAACACAATAATGATTATTAAAAATTAATTGGAAGTCGAAGGCTATTTGTTGACCTATTATATGTCTTAATTTTGATGTATATTGACGCTGTGTTAATATGCAACTATTGTATTGTTAGTTAGAGATACTACTTTGCCTTTACAAAAGAAAATTACTTATAATTTTGAGATATTTCATTATGTATCTATTACAACATTTTTGTGTATGCTATAGTTATCCATATACTCAATATCTTATACACTCCGGGTTATTTTGTTGAATCTTCTACAAACCAAGGCTGGTCCATATATAATACTTTAATAATTTGACATCGTAAATAAGTATTACCTATTGTTTATTTTTTATTTTTTTTGGAATAATAATACTACCTATTATTATAACAAAAATCACACGTTGATTAATTAGCGTAATTAATATTTAATTTAACTTAATATTTTCACTTTTAGCCTTCCTATGATGGCTAGTTGTACACATATATCAACTACAATTGCTAATAGGAGCGAGCGAGACTGAGTGCTCTACTTAGTCCTTTGGATTTGAAATTAACAAATGATGGAAGATTAATAGAAATTGAGATGTGAAAACATTGCACTACTTCTAGTGATTATCTTTAAAATGTAGGGGAAGTAAATTTCTTTATAATAATTTAACGGGTCATGCTTTGGGATTATTTTGTATATATGTTTGAAATTTTGTATCACGTATGTAAGTAATGGAATTTCAATTCGAACAACTCATGATGACAAACCCATTATCAAGATTTAAACACTTGTATCATTGTATGTATAAGTAATATGTACCGTATATATCAGGGTAAATACATTATTCTGGTTGGCTCGTAACTCTTTTACATTTCAAATAATATCAAATACCCATTAATAATTATACCTATTGTTAGAATATAGACACTAAATTATGGGAAGAAGACAATATTAACCTATTGTTAGGATTTACACACTTGTATTTAATTTATAAGGATACACGATATTATATATAGGCCAATATATTTGGAAAAACATTATCAACTTGGTCAAGCTAGATTTATTCTAATGTATGGTTTCCAAATATTTACAAGTAATATTTACTCCATCCCACTGTTCTAGCTTAGTCATACAAGAATATATTCTTAATCATTTAATTTTCTTTTTTGCACAATATCCTTTTGTTCTTACAGTATATTACCGTTTCATTTATTTGAATGCTCATGTATGCAACCCATAATACCCCGAATTGAAAATAAAACTAAACGAAAAAAGTTGACTCGATACACAAGGTGACCAGAATCAATTTCGCTTCAACATGAAATTAAACTAATTATTGACCTAAATAAATTTTAAACAACCTAAATTAATTGACCCAAATCGAGTTGAGAGATGCTTCTTTGATTGTGAAGAACTAAATACATACTGCTACTAACACCATCAAGGTTAATGATTATGTTACTGTGAAACCAACGCGAAGGTTACTTTCAAAAACTCAAACATGGGTTCTATTGAAAATTTTGTAGATGAGACTTCCTAGAAAAATAATCTGGTGATGTTTTAAAGTGCATTTATGTTCATTACAAGTGTAAAGATTAAGTGATTGATTACAATATAAACACCGAACAAATGATTGTAATAGATATAGTACATGCCTAAATTAATTGGAAAAATTCAACCTAAATTCAGCAGGAATTATAAAGTTTCATTAAATTAAAAAAATAAAATGAAAGATAAATGACTAATTAGCGAAGTTACTCCTTCCAGAAGCTTAGAAAATTGAGATGTTAGTTATATAAGAAATAAATTTACATGTTTGCGTGTTTTGTTGTTTATATATGAGATATAATATCACCAGTCAATATATAATGAAATATTAAGTTGCAATGTATAATAGAAGATATATATTACCAAGAATCCTTCTTAATATTATATCCATAATACTATAATAGTTGATATCATCTCCTTAATTACAACCTATGTATAATCCCTTTGGTAAGATCATGTTTTGTTTTGTTATTTAGGTATAGAATAGATGAACTAGTACTCTACCTCTATGTATATAATTTATCTTGGTTAGGATTTTATTTTATTTATTAATTTATTATAGTTAGCCGTCTTTGTAATCAATGTTTACATTATATGAACTCATATCTACTTGACTACTTGTGAATAATATAACATTCTTCATTCTCTCATGTTTCTAAGCAGGGAAAGATCTAAACCCGTAGCCAATTTGCAAATAGTTACAAAAGAACAAATCGAGGTAAATGTCAATGGTGTCATATCCTTGGTCATACGTACATTATTGCACAACTGCCCCATTTCAACAGTATTCCCCCATAGCCATGCCCACCATCCCTCCTCTCAATCACCGATCACTACTAACACCCCAAGTATACACTGTCGCAACTAGGAGGGTTGCACCTCCCACATCTTGGCTCCTTGATACCGGCACCATTCACCATCTTACTCATGACATAAAAAAAATTTAAAAAGATATGTACAATCATGAGCAATATATGTTAATAATGCTTAAAACACCCTATCAATTTTTTTATTAAAAAATTTGAATAAATTTTTTATATCAAATCAAATAAAAATAGTTTATATTTTTTTCGGTAAGGATAAAAATAGTTTATACGTATATAAATAATCAAATTATATGGGAGTAAGAAAAGTTTATATAACAAATTAATAAGTTCTTCTTTTTTAAAGCTAACAAATCAATAATAAGTTTATAAATATAAGAAGCATTTAATAAATTTACATGGACATTTCTTATATACCTCTTCCGTTTCATAATAATCGCAACACTTTGACTAGCATATATACCAATGCACAATTTTGAGTTTTTACCATTAGCAATTATAATTATGTATTTATAAGAAGTATAAAAGGTAATAATTATAAATACGGAGTATACATTATTAAGAAGTATAAATAAAAGGTTGATATAATGAAACCATAAATAAAGACTAAACCAAAAATATTTTATGTATATGGAAGCATATATTATTTATATATTTGGTAAAAATGTAGTCAAAGTAAGTATATCAATAGTGTAAAAGTCAAATTGCTATAATTATATATTACGAAATGAAGGTAGTATAGACGTTCCTTTTTTTTTTTTTATTCCTAAATATGACAACTAAAATTAAACAAAATGAGTATTTGAAGTTTTATTGATCAAAGTACGCTCTTAAATGTCTGTTGGTCAGTAGTCAAATTACTCAAATACATGCCATACCACCTTCCTCTTCTTTGTCTCTCTTTTATGCCACTAAGTGAGAAACTAGCTTAATTAATAGCCCACGTCTATCTAATTTTTTTTAATGGCAGTAATAAAATTTTATAATTCTCATAATATGGTGGTATCAAACCCATTTTTCTGAAGTCTATCCCACTTGCATTTGCTAGGCTTTGTAAAGTTTTCGTCCCCAATCAAGATCCTCCGATAATCTCTTTCTCTTAAACAAATAAAAATTACATATTTTAACGTGGGAAAAATTGGGTCAACGGAGATTTTTTTTTTTTTTTGGCTAATCAAGGTTATAGTTTTCCTCTCTAATAAAAATTACATATTATATAAAGAGAAAAGATGGACCAATCAGAGTTATTATTGCAAATCAAGGTCGTAGTAATACTCTCTAATTGAAATTACATATAATCTCTAAACTTGTAAGTTCCCAAATTTTACGAGTAATATTTATGTCAATTTTTTTTTTCTACTTCTAATTATTACTCCATATCATCTTTCTTGCTCTAGCAAAGTTCTAATACTTCATTAGTATTAAAGTATAATAAGCTATTTTGGGCAAGAAACGTACATAAACACAACCTACTAAATGGAGAAAAATGAATATTCAGAAAAGGGTGAATTAGTGAATGAGCTTGTTGAAGGGAGAGATCTTACCAAGCAGCTGTTGCTGATGATTCTCAACAATGAACAACCACGGTCATCCTCTAGCAACGACGACAACGATGCGTACGGATTGATTGCTCAAAAGATATTAGCCAAGTTTGAGAGGTCATTACAGATCTTGCAATATGATCCAAGCAACAACCAATCTAAGTCTAAGTTGTTTCAACAAACTACAACTGATTCTCCTTATTCTTTCAGTGGAAGCCCTAAAAGTCAAGACTCTGAAAATAATGCTGATTTCAAACATCCATCTGACCTTAAAAATGATCCCAAAAAATTGAGGTAATGCAATTTTTTTTTTTTTTTTTTTTTTAAAAAAAAATATATGTTATAATCTGATCTATACTAGGATTTTATTTTATTTATTACACATATAGCTAAATTTATTTTCTCCTCACCACAAAAAAAAAAAAAAAAAAAAAAAAAAAAAAAAAACAAAACCTTAGATTTATTATAATTATTGAATGAAAATAAGAAACATGACAATTTTTTTTATTTTTGGGCTGTGGGATATATAGGTGGGTATGGGTGGGGTTATAGTGGTTAAGCATTAGATTTAACCAAATAATTAGATTAATATTTTACATCATGCTTTGCTTCATTGTTCAATTTTTGCATTGGTAGGTTAAATAGTGATTAATTGGAATTGAAGGATTTTTTTCCTAGAAATTTGTAATCAATCATCAAATCTATTTTCCTTTAGTAGAGACGTTAGAGGACAATATTAACAAATTTTCAAAATTTTCCTAGTAAAGAAATGAGTTTAGTTATTTCAACATTTTGATTTGCTACATATACTTACAACTTTACGAGTACATGTTTAACTTTCCTTTTTCTCCCCTTCACTCTGTACGTTCAATTCCTCTCCATTTTGATATTTCCTTGAATTAATTTTATAGATTAGGAACCAAACAAAGTTGATTCTTGATGAAATTTACCCAAAAAAAAAAAAGAAAAAAAAAGATTTTCATGTTAATGACTCTATATTTTTTCCTAAATCAAATACGAAATATTAAAAATTAATTATTTGTAAGTAGGACAACATCGTCCATCTAAGAGTCAGTTGTGAAGATGGCATTATTCCATTATTTTTTTTTAGTAAAGTATATCTTAGCTACACTTCCTGCAATATAATTAACAAAATAATTAAATTTAGTACAGTATCTTTTGTTTAATGTGGTTGGTTGATTCCTTGATTAGTATCAGGTTAAGCTAAGAGTCAGTTGTGAAGATGGCATTATTCCATTTCTTGTTGCAAACACACTGGATTTTTAACATGCGTATCACCTGTGTCCACATTCTCCAGGAAAAATAATAAAATTTTCCCAAAAAGATAATGTTTCATGTAATTTATAAACATCTAAAATGTGTTTGTCTGATTTTAATTTATTGATCAAGTTGAGGCTTTTATATTGTAGAAGGGTTGTTCCACAAGTGACACAAAGAGTGCAAGGTTGTACGAAAAACGGGCTTGAAGGTCCGATTGAAGATGGGTTTAACTGGAGAAAATATGGACAAAAGGACATTCTTGGAGCCAAATTTCCAAGGTAATTACCTAGTATATATAAAATGGGATCGAATTTTGTTTGAGGTTGCATTTCATAATCATATAGATGACGTACCTAGCTATGAAGGAACCTAGTTAGATCATAAATCCTGTGTTGTTTAGTATAACCATTAGTCTGATCTCGATCTTTCTTGATCTCCCCTAACACAATTTGTTGTCCTCGACTTGGCCTGATATTGCACGAATGAAAAGTGAAAGTTGTAATGGTATCATCATAAGTCATACCTGCGTGCCTATAGTTATGCAACTTTTAACAAATCGGAAGACTGTGTGACATACATGTTTAACATATAGTATATGCTATATACTGCACGAAAATAATTCGTGCAAAGAGCCTAAGAATGTTACATACAACAAACTTTAACCATCACTAGCTTAACAATATGACAGTACAGGAGAACATATTTTGTATAACTTGTATTATATGCAATTCTTCCTCAAAAAAAAAAAAAAAAAAAAATGTTGTATGCAATTCTTCCTAAACGTCACTAATTCTAATGTAGTCTTATGATTTTTTACTACCACAATTTTCTTAAAATGAACGGCTGAGATTATTTGTTTTTTGATTTATTTTTAATTAGAAATTTTAATTAAAAATAACTTTTTAATTATTTTATATATATACTTTTATTTCCAGAATTTTAAAAATATTAAAAAATAATTTGCAGAAGATAAAAATAGTTTTAAAAAAATAGTTTTAATAAAAATTACTAATTAAAAATAAATAAAAAAAATAAATAACCTCAACCATCCAATTTAAAAAATTGTGGTAGTCAAAAGTCATAAGACTACATTAGAGTCATCTCCTAAACGTACTTATAATTAATAAGAAGTACTATTATGTTGGATGTTCGCAGGGCATATTTTAGGTGTAATCAGAGAACTCTTGAAGGATGTTTTGCTACAAAGCTAGTTCAAAGAACCGAAGATGACCCTGCCTTCTTTCAAGTCATTTACCGCGGTATGCACACCTGCTCTAAGGCTTCCTCTTCCTCCTTCCCCACTAACCCTACACAAAAACCCGAGTCCATCGAAATCATAGCGTATCCTCCTTGTCAACAATCAAAGGATACCATGTTGATATTTGAAAAAGATATCAAACCCTTTAGTAGTAGTACTCTACAAACTCATCAAATTCCCACTACAATGCCAAATTATAACACTAATAATTATATTAATCTTAGTTTTCCTACAAATACAATTACAAATACGTTCCAATCTCCTTCATGTGAAGCGAACATGATTGACTTCAATCATCGTAATGAGACAGTATATAATCCACAAGGAGCTTTCGTTCGTGGAGTTACACATCCATCTTCTTCTTCAGGTACTCATTATTCTGATAGTGCACCACACCTTTCATTTGATCAAGGTGAATTTGACCGTGATTTTTTCATTGACAACCCAAATTACATTCAGTAACTCTTATTTATATACATATACACGAGTTACAAGTAGGCATTGATATTTTTTTTTTTTAACTAATTAGTAAGATTATTTTAGAAAAAAAAATAATATGCAACACATTCAATGTGTAACAGTTTTGCGTTTGTACTTGTTTTTATCCAAAACATGATCAGATGTCTCTGATATGAAAGGTATAGTAGCCAATCATTGTTCCATGGTGCTTCTTTCATCTCATATGGTTTTTCTTACTTATTTTCTTATGTCAATTCCTTATTTTTTTGTGCGAAATATGTTTAACGTTCAAACTTTGAGCTATTAGATCTTCTAAATAATGAATATTTCAATAATAATGTTATAGTTGGATTTGTCTTAAAATATAAGATTTGGATTGATTTTCAGATAGGAAGAGGTCAAAATAAAAAAGCAAAATGGGCCCTTCGATGGCATTACAAAGCGCTGAGTGGCCCAAATTCGTTCAATTTCCCTGGATATTAATAATTTGGGCCTTAGCCCGAAGAAAAACATGAAAGTTGGGCTATCTGATTAGATTTGACTACTGTATGAAGTAGTTTTGGGGTCTTTGGGATCATTTCATCAACTTCTCTGGTTATGTTTTGATTAAACACGTGTAGCAACGCATTAGGCAAATAAGCTGTGCCTTTCCATAAATTTAAGAGCAATAATGGAAAGTTGCTAACTATGTTCGGATAAAAGAGGGGCAATTAGAAAATTACCCTAATGTTAGATACAAAATTAGTTTGTCATATACTCTTTCTTTTTGTTTTAGTATATATTCAAGTCTAGATATGCCACCAATAATGCTGAGTGCTACAAAGTACATGGCTTATCAATTTTTATACTCTGTAGTTTATAACATAAATTTTGTAAAAAAAAAAAAAAAAAAAAAAAAAAAAAAAAAAAAAAAGAAGCAAACAATCAACATAGATAAATAAGGACATCGCCTAATTTGAAGGGCAACATGGGAACAGAGAAATGTGATCAAATTGTCCAATTTGAGCAATTATGTTAAAGACTTGAGTTGCTCTTACATCAATAATGTTACATAGGTACACATTAAAAATGTAAAGCAAAATCATGAAAATACTCGAATGTAACAAAGATTTTATGTCATGCAATAATATGATCGAACTTTACGAGGATAATAGAAATAAAAGTGTACGTTGTTAAATGAGGCAAAGTCAATGCAGTGACAGATATATATATAACTCAATTGCTACTTGATTGTTAGGCAGCCTTTTTCATATCTATATAATATAATGTTGTTATTTATCAAAGTTTTTTGGACCACCTTATTTCGCATTATTTCCTTCCTCCCTCGATTTTGTCCTTTTTCTTCTAATAATACAAAGTTACAAAATAGAACATACAACATGATTGTAAAGATAGAAGCTGATATATATAAAGGTATTTTGGATATTTGTGACGGTATCTATATCTAGTCTAGTCATAAGAAAAACTTCGAATTCACATTATTGGTTGTACTCACAAAATTAACTAACATTATAAGTCCATATTATAAGTTTTAGACTAACGCACGTTGACTTTTATTTAAGAGTAGTACGTGTCTCTTTGATTGATTTAATAGTATATACAATGATAATGAGACTTAAGTTGGAACTTACAATTAATGTGTTTTGATACATATGAACTCAACAATCCTCTCATAACACATATTTTCTTGTATCATATAAGTATGGTTTTAGAGGTACATAATATTTATGGTGGTGATGTTGAAGTGTTGATATTTCAGATGGTTGAGACTCTTTCGAGGGAGGCCTACTGTGTCATTTTTCAAAAAATGACACCATAACATGATGATGTGTCGTGTTATGATTGGTCATTTTTTGATTTATTTTTAAAATCCTAAATGTACAACACATGTATATATAATTGTAAATACATGTATTTTTTTAGAGAATACATAATTATAGTTTTTTTGAATTTATGTTTATCTTTTTTAAATCATTTTCGAAAATTAAAATTTAGAAAAAAAAAATTCATCATTGTTCTTCAATCATGATCTTAATTAACCGCCCCAAAAATCTTGTATAATCTATTCGAACTTTAGACCAAAATTCCGACCAAAATTCCGTCCAAAGATCGGATTGATTGCATTGGTTTTCGAATCTGCTTCCATGATTTGTATACAAATTTCGTTTTAGGGTTCGATTATTGATAATATTGATTTATGTAAAAATCAAGTTGTTTGATGGTTTTGAGGATGAAAATAGTCTTAGAAGCGTATATTATGATTATCTAAAACACAGATCTTTCAATTTTTTTAACGGGTCAATGGATAATCAGGGTGTGCTCTGCGATTTAGAGTTTGAAATATTTTTTTTCGCAAACCTGTTTGATCCATAATTGAGGTCTGCGATTACTGTAATCTGTTTGTGGTTAGGTAAATTACCTATATTTAGTTAGGTCATAACCTAAAAAATTTAGTTTTAATTTGTAGTTGGAATCTGCTTGTGTATAAGGCATCCATCAGTATTAGTTTGGGTCATTACTTAAAAAATTAAGTTTTATGTTATAATTGGAATCTGCTTGTGCTCAAGGCACATATGAATTACCTAACAATAGTGTTTTTATTTTTAGTGGAAATCACAATTTTACGCTAATCATATAACAAAAAAAAAGGATTTATGGGATTATTATCTTATTATATTTGGAAAAAATATTTTTGAAATCTTGGGCATATAAATTAATTAGTTCCTACGAAGTATAATTTTGGTATATTCTAATTAGCTGTTTATATGATTTTTATACAAAATATTTTTGAAATCTTGGGCATAAAAAATTAATTAGTTCCTATAATTTTGGTATATTCTAATTAGCTGTTTATATGATTTGTATACAAATATAGCTTTTTTATATATATGATATCAAATATCTAGGTATATTGTTACGAATAGTGAAGGTTTGACCGAAAAATTTAATGTTGAAAGATTATAATTGATCTTTATAGTTTAATGGTTTCAATTTTATTTTTTTATTTTAAAAAAAAAAGCAGTAGCATTTACCTAATTTTTTGTTAACTGACATATTTATATTAACATTTGCCCCTTTTTTTTTAGCAATTTTATAGAGAAATATTCTCTCTCAAAAAAATTCCTTAATGACATTTAAGAGAATAAAAAAAAATAAAAAAAAAAAAAAAATTTAAGCATAATTTTAGGAACCATCTTTTTATATATATATTAGACAATGATAACTTCCTTAAATTACATGTCGTATACATCTACATCCATAATTTTAGGACCCATTTTTTTTATTATCGTTAAGGAACACGTTTTTTGCCATTTTTATATACATCATATATTTATATTTTTGTTTACATAATTATGCCTACATATATATATATATAATTTATAATAAAGTTATTTTTGTATACAAATCAAATAAACAGTTACAAATTCAATGAGGGCTTCAATTCAAAAACCGCTTAAATTTTTTTAATTAAAATACCGCTTTAAATTTCAAATTTGTCAAAGGGATTTCTTAAAAAAAAACGAAAATGAAGGGATTTGTTTTTAGAACAAATTTTAATGAGGGGGTTATTAAAAAAAAAAAAAAAATCAAAAACTGCATTAAAGTTTTCAATTTCATGTAATACTATATACTTAGGTTATGACCTACAGTGGTAAAGGTTATTACCTTTATATGTAAAACTAAATTATGATTTTTTGAATTCAAAATAATACTTTATTGTCTTTATAGCTAATGAATTGAAGTTCATTTTACTTAAAAAAAAATTTAGGTAATGGTACAAAATGATGATTTGACAATTTGTTTGCAGTTGGTGTAGCTCTACGGTTGTTTAGCCGTAGGTTTTTACCATTACTATCAAAGGTTAATATTTTGAAATATCAAAATACCTTATTTTTTAAAATTTGTATCTATGAAACTAATTTCAATGATCATCTTTCAAAAAAAAAAAATATATCAAACTAGTATGTAACTAGTTAAAAAAGCGTATGTTATATACAAATCTAATTCGAAAATTAGTTTGCCATTGGAGTTGGGTTGGAGTACAAAATGATGAATTGACAATTTGTTTGCAGTTGGTGTAGCTCTACGGTTGTTTAGCCGTAGGTTTTTACCATTACTATTAAAGGTTAATATTTTGAAATACCTTATTTTTTAAAATTTGTATCTATGAAACTAATTTCAATGATCATCTTTCAAAAAAAAAAAAAATATATCAAACTAGTATGTAACTAGTTAAAAAAGCGTATGTTATATACAAATCTAATTCGAAAATTAGTTTGCCATTGGAGTTGGGTTGGAGTACAAAATGATGAATTGACAATTTGTTTGCAGTTGGTGTAGCTCTATGGTTGTTTAGCCGTAGGTTTTTACCATTACTATTAAAGGTTAATATTTTGAAATACCTTATTTTTTAAAATTTGTATCTATGAAACTAATTTCAATCATCATCTTTCAAAAAAAAAAAAAAATATCAAACTACTATGTAACTAGTTAAAAAAGCGTATGTTACATACAAATCTAATTTGAAAATTAGTTTCCCATTGGAGTTGGGTTGGAGTTGAATCGGATAGGGCTAATGTTGATTAATATATGTGATCTATAATATTATTTATTGAACAAGTACAGGTGTAAATGAACAGAGCCGATCATTAACCTACCCAGGTTCAAGCTCGGTTGAAGGTTTGTTCATGTTCTCATATGAAATCTCAGATCGTGCATGGACTCGCCTAAGTTAAATGAACATGAACATAATACTCGGCTTAGTTCATGTACACCTCTATGAATTGAACAAGCATTAAAGTTTGACCATTACTCCCATCGTTTCATAATACTAGCAAAACTTTTCGTTTTCATCCGTTTAATAATATTTCATCATTTTGTAATGACCTACAATTACTTTCTATTTCTATCAACCCCACTTACACTCTTTTTATTACTACATTTCTTTCACCTACTAACAATTAAATATATCCCTAGTAACCATACTTTATACCAAACAATTCTCCTTCTGGTCGTCACAACCCTATAATTTTCCAAAAACTTTTAGCCAATCCCACTGTTGCGATTATTATGAAACATATGGAGTATTTAATTTTCTAACAATATATAAGTATATATTATAGCATAGTGTGAGAAAGTATTCATAATTTAATATTTTGTCACATCCATAATATAATAAGGTTAATACCAGAATATAAAAAACACTGTTTTTCTGTGTAATGACCAAACATAGTTTAAGTCATTACCTAACCCACAAACAAGTTTGAGAAAACTTAATTACATTTATCGATTAAACAGGGGTTGCGGTAGGTAAAAAAATGCTACCACTTCATCTTTTACATACAAACTTGATACTCCTTGTTCTTTGACAAAATTACACAATTTGAGTCTACAAAAATCATATTTTCGAACCATTCAAAGCGGAATTCGTCCTTTGGCAAATACTTATAAATGAGATTGTTGTTGAGATTTTTTTATGAACGAAAACCTAAAATCAAAAACTGCAAAAAACACAATTTGTTTTCGAATTTTTATCCCAATTTTAGTCCGGATTTGCGAATTCATCAACAACTAACATTGATTTTGGGAGTAGGAGGCTAATCTATGACATGATTGATGAACATTAATGAACAATGATGAATGATTGTTAAACAATATGAACAATATTGAACGATTTTAATTTTGTGATTTTTAATTATAATTATAAATTCGAAAATTAATTAATATTACAAAAAATAGATTTCATAATTATTATGTATTTCTAAAAAAAAATACATGTATTAAAAAGAATATTAAAAAAAATACAATTTTAGTACATTATGAATATTAAAAATAATTCAAAATGAAAATAAAAATACTAAATTTAGACCAATCACATTTTGCCACATCAACAAATTGTGGTGTCATTCTTAAAGAATGACATTGTAGAATTTTCAGACTCTTTCGAGGTACAAACTTTGTTCGGTACCTTAGGAAAATTAACTTATCGATGTATTATTGCACATTTCTCTATTGGAAACATAAATTAAACTCTAATCTAATACTCGTATGAAGTAGTATTAAAATAAATATACAGAGATATCGGAAAATGTACCAAGAAATAGATAAAGTTCATTGCTGAAGATCAAAACTATAGAAACATGGTATCTGTACCATAGCTAAAAGTCTAAAATTACAAAGGTTAAAAAAAATAAATTTACACGCCGTTCAAAAAAAAAAAAAAAAAAAAAAGGGTTACACAAATGAGAACAAACAATCATGGAAAAAAAAAGTTACAATTTGTACCCCAAAAAGAGAATTAAAAAAACTAAAACTAAAATTAAAAATAAAAATACAGTTACATGATCAGTAAAATATATGGCAGTAAATGCAATTCCTTCCCTCATAATTATTAATTATTACAGTATGTAATTGGATTTTTTTTTTTTTCTTGAGTACAGTTAATTAGGGTGGAAATTCATAGAGAATATTGGTAATTTTAATTAATTTAAATAGGAAGGTTTTAAATTTAATTAAAATTAATGAGTGGAGTAGAGCAGAATGTTTGTTGGATTTGGTGAGCAAGTTCTTCAGCACTGAGTTGGCATTCAATTCCAATCTGCAAAAAGAAGAAAAGGCACACATGCACTCACTCAGTTGTAATATTATTGCAAGTAACATTTAAGATTTTCATCAGCAGATCCATTTTTATTATTATTATTATTATTATTATTATTATTATTATTATTATTATTATTATTATTATTATTATTATTATTATTATTATTATTATTATTGAAAACAATGCAAAAATAATCCTCAAGAAAATATAAATAAAATATATATGAAAATGTTGTGTAGGAGATGGCAGAGAAAGGAGTACTTTGTGAGCAGGAAGAAAAATGACAATAGTGTATCAAAGTTCAATGCAATGTGTAGGTCAACTTTCATGATTTAACACCTTAATGGGTAAAGGTAACTTATGTGAAATGTCCGCTAGTTTATTCGGATAAAGTTTTGGAATGTGACCTTTAAGATAAATTCATAATTCTATGTTAGATCGATGAAATCACTTAACTGCATCAAATTTAATTTGTTTGTATCACTTTCTCATCTGAATCTTTATATACCAATGATAAAATGGATAGAATCATTATATGTAAATACTCTAACATATTTTTACCTTTTCTTGTATGGTGAATTCTCAATATAAATATAGACTTAAAATATTATGCACTAGGGTGCAAATTAAACCTTTTGAATTGCAAATGAGCATGTGAATCTATATACTTATAGTGACCAAGACTAGTTCAAACACATTTGGTTTATAATTATATCTAGGGATAATATGGAAGAGAAAGTTAAAAAAAAAAAAAAAAAAAAAAAAAGAGACTTTATGGGTAGAATTGGTAGAAAAGTTAACAAATCCTATGAAATAGTGGCTAATTTCATATTTGGTTAGTCTATTAAATTTCTATATATTGTATAGAAAAATGCAATGTATAGCATGCAATTAAAAAAGTAAAAAAAAGGAGTTTTACCTTGATAGTAAACGAGTTGAGCATAGTGTCTTCAACGGTGATAATGTTGATATGAAGAATCTCAAAGGAGAGATCTTCAAGGGTCGAAATAATCTTCACAACTTGTCCTGGGATTCGAGGCGAAACTGTCTTAAGGAGAAGATTTGGCCCGGAGAACTTTACTTCTACCACAGCCATTGGAGATCTCGAGTTTGCTACGAGCTCATTAGGAAAACAATCGTTAATGGAAGAGCTTGAAGATGAGGGCGAAAGGTCGATAGGACTACCCATTGCTGAAGAAATATTCATTCTTGGTCTATAAGGGCTTCCTGGTTGAGGGGTTCTTGGACTAATTGGTAGGTTAATTCTAGGGCTTAATGGTGGTTTTCTAGGGCTAAGTACTTGAGGTGAAGGTCTTGGACTTGAAACAACTCTAGGACTAAGTACTTCATTGTAAACCTTTCTTTGTTTCTTGGCTTCAAGTGCTTGAAGAAGTTGTTGTAATTCGGTTATGTAGTCCACTACTCCGCCTATTATCGATGCTTGATCGCCCTAGTTAAATCAGGAAAATATTAATTCAGGTTAATATAATTAGATAGAAACATTCATCTATGTCTACATCATTGTCTTTATGACTCTATCAACACCAAAAAAATAAATAGTACATAAATTAACATTTTTAATGCTTTTTTAGTGGAAAAATCTAAGCTTTAGGAGTACATGTATTTCCAAACCTAGAAATAAGGTATGTGTCCCACCATGTACCTCATATTGGTTGAGTTTGAGCTAGAGACGTACCAAACATAAATTAAATGTACATTAGTTGGATTACTACTATAGAGTGTCATAAGACAGAAGCCAAAAGTATTTTTTTATAGAGAAAGATTACATCCTTACAATTTTATTTTCCATTAGAATAATGTGTAAAAACTAATGGTACAACATGACAAAAAGAGCAAGTTTAAATATGGAGTACTTCTTTACATGCACTATGGATGGTCCTAAATGTTTAAAAGGGATCTAATTATTACTACGAGTAGCTGAATTTTTTGTTAGTCAGCAAGTAAAGACACCAGGTAAAAATGATGACCGAAAATTACTCCCTGATTATATTGTATTTAAACTAGTATTGTAACAACTAAATTTGGATAAAGGTAACACAACAAAAGGAAAACACATCAATATGCGATCAATGTTAGTTACTAGAACTATCGTCAAGCAACTCTACAAATTTCCAAGTAACTCTCAATCAGGAAGACTCGAGATGTATGTAGTCTTATCCCTAGCTAACAAATAAAATAAAACGTAAAAAGCTTAAATAATTTAACTTACTCTCTTGACATAGAAACAAGGCATGAGGGAACGCAAGACAGAAAGATGCTCATTCATTTGCTTCCTACGATTCCTTTCCACAGTTATATGAGATATCTTACTTCCATCTTCACCTCCTACTTGTCCTACCGTTTCAGTCTCCTCTAAAGCTACAATCTTAGCTCTCTTACTTTTGGGCTGTTCATTGTCACCTAACTCGGCTTCAAGAGCATCAAGCTCAGTCTCAGACAAGTCTTGGAACGACATCATAAAACCTCCTTTTGTTGTATCTTCATCTACACTACCAGAACCAGAACCGGAACCTGTTATCGCCGCCTCTTTTAAACCCTCTAAGGCATCAAAGATGCTAAAGAGGTCCTCCGGTGAGGCCGGAAGCCCTGAAAAAGTAGGATCACACAAATCTTGATCATCAAAGAAACTTGAAATGCTATCACCCATTATTTTTTTTCCTAGGGTTTTTGTTTTTTTTGCTTTGTTTTCTTTCCTAGGAAAAAAAAACGTAGAGAAGTGAGAAAAGGGTTATAGTAAAGAAGATGAAATGAGAGAAAACATGTGTACTCTTACAAATGGGGGAAGAAAGAGAAGAGATGCTATTAGTAGTAATGGCTTTCAGGACATCTTCGGGTCCACACGATTTTATTATTCAATTTTATTTTTAATATAGGCTTTTTAAATTAGAGGGGTGGACTTTTTTTTTTGTTTTTTTGGAGGTACAAGTTGTATGGATATTTATAACATCCTAAAATGTAATATTATTGGGGAAAAAAATTCATGTTATAGGAGTAATAATAATTGAAGCTGTATATGGAGTAATTTTTTCCATTTTACTATTAGACTGGTAAGCTACTATATGTGCTACATTGATTAAGGAAGTTTTCAAAATTTTAATGAAAATGTTCGAAAATCATTATCGAAGTTGACAAGATTAGGATACAAATCAGTTTCACTAATCACTATTGCTATAGAAGTATAAAACAAATGAAAAACGTGTAATAGACTTAATTAGGGTATCTATTTTTTAAAGATTATTTTTATTTAATTTTTTGATGAAACATATTTTGAAAGAGCATAATAATCGAATTTACAATAAAACTGTGTCATGCATGACTCCTTAAAAATTGGTATGATTAAGCTAAGTTCTCTTTCACCAAATTAAAGGATATAGATTGTGTTTCATGCATGAACCATAACAATATAATTGATCATATTATTACGAATGGATACATGAGTGATTCCTACAAGCAAAGCTAAAGTGAGAATATATTCTCTAATAATCCTATTGCAAGATCGAGGATCAGAGTAGCCCAATTATATCGTTAAGTGGAAATTTCAATTCAAATATTTTAGTGTAAACATGTTCATCCTCGTACCTAGCTACGGAGTACATATATATATATATACCAACATAAGAACATATGAAAACTTTCGACATAATTTTTCAATCTCGACTTCAGATATCTTTGGAGTTACATTGTGGTTAATATGTAAATGGAAAACTTGTCAATTTTACATGTAAGATGTATGTTTTAGTCATATTTGGAAAAAAATTTGAATGATTTGTATAGAATTGTAGATAAAGAGGTAAAGAGAGAAAAAGAGTGTCCCATGAAGAGAAGGTGGAAGCAGACCATAAATGTGACAAGATTTTGTTTAAAAAGGGGCTACAATGAATCAATCATTATTTCAACGGTCGGCCTTTATTTTTGAATGTTTTTGCATTGCCTGTTGTCAGCTTATCTACCACATGCAGTCTTTTTGGGGAACTAACTCTAATGCTTCCACTTCAGTAACTTTTTAATTACGTAATAAATCCTAGACTGCTTAAATTTACAAACAAAATGGATATGGAGTAAATACTTAACTATTGTTCAAACTAGATTACGTTCCGTGTCATACATGGTATAAATACAAAATTTTTAAAAACAAAAGTAAAATATTTTGTATAATGCATGTGGACAAAATATATAATCATAGTATTTTTTTTTTTTTTTTTTATGTAAATAATGAAATGAAACATGAAATATAATGACAACAGAGTAATTAGACAAATAAGTTTAAAATTTAAATGATAAATTAATATCGTTTTTCTTTTTATTAACTAAATAATTAAGTATTTTAAAATTGTATATTAAATATTATGGGATTGTAACATAAATAATTACTACAGTGTATTTGATACAATTTAGGATAGTGGAAAACATGTCTAATTTGTCGTGCTTTTGATATACATAAATAACTAAAAATTAAAAATAAATCAAATAAGATTGATATTGTAAAAACAAAATTATGCTATTAGGAAGCTGTTTTTAATAAGAAATTAAAACATTTTGAAATTTCTAAATAGAGAATATATGAATAACAAAAGAAGGCTTAGGGAATAATAGTAATAGTAATAATCAAGTATGAATCAATTATTTCTAAAATGCATAATTTATTTATTTTTTTGTTACAAAATTGCTGCATATATAATATATTGAAGATTTGAAGGAATAAAATACTGCATAAGGATTAGGAAATAATATATACAAAGTAATAGACGTTAGAATAGTATTTTATGGAAAATATGTGAATCACAAATATATATTTTGTTTAAGTAAGTGAATGATTTGGTGAATATTTTTAGTATATTTTACAATAAGTTGTTGATGTCACCATGGAAAAAAAACTTAGAGGAAAAAACAGTACCAAATTGTGACAAGTGTTATTTCTAGAGTCGATTTATTCCTAGTATCTGTTTTAATATTACGTTATAGATTGAATAATAATAATAATAATAATAACAGATATGAAAAATATGTGAATCACAAATATATACATTTTTATTAGGAAAGTGAATCACACTCAAATGATTTGATGAATATATATAAAGTATATTTACAATAAAAAGTTAAAAAAAAGGAGAAAATAGTTTTGGAGGAAAAATACAGCACCAGGAAGTGACATGTGTCATTCCTGATATCTATTTTAGTATTATGTTATTAATTATGTAATTTATTTCGGCAATATCCTCGAAATAAGTAACTTAAATATTGAAGACGCATGTTTTTTTTAGATTCTAACCATGATGACACTGCTTCTAATTTATTGTCTTGTATCTATGAGAATTATGACACACACACACTCTCTCTACATATAATATATTGGGTAGGACCGGCAAATCCTGACCTGACCCGATAACACGACTCGAAGTTACTGAAAGAAATCCGAACTCGACCCGAACCAAACCCGAACAATCCGAATTCGACCCGATTTGATCCAAATTTCATATTTCGTAATAATATTAAGTTTTACACTATTTTTTATAGTTTGTAAGCATAACCCAAAATTAACCCGAAATCTAACCCGAATCCGACCTGCTGACCCGAATTGCCACCCCTAATATTGGGTAACCTAATAACCTACCTTTGCGTGTTATGCATGTCATGATCAATTTCAATTCTAATTGATATATACACATTTGAGGCTAGCTAGAGAACACCTTCATCATCAAACACGATCTCCTTAAACCTCCATAAACACGTTGTAATGGACCAACGTCAAGGTCATCAAACTACCACTTCATATAAGATATAACTATATGAAATTTTCTATATACATATTATTAACCTAGTTGATCTGAAAGAGAAAATAAAATTACTACGTAGTACATATATTCCCTTTTTTTGTCCTTTGAGACCAAAACAGAAGCAAATGAACAGTTCAATCTGTTGTAAATGTACGTAGATGAGATGATGATATATTTGTAAGACATTAAAAATGTCACGAGCCCCACTTGACAAGTACACATTTATAAATAATTTGCCTGTGATTGGAGATTTCCATTTTCTTAAGGACTGCATGCACTTATTTGTATTATAAACTTTATAGTATAATTTCCAAGCATATAAATCTGCCCAATTTCCTGCCGGCCACGTTCCTTAGCTCAAGGGACATTTTCCGACTGAATCTGTGAAAAAGAAATATTGTAAGGCATAGTTATTTAAACATTATTATGTGACACTTATAATAGAATTAAGTTCAATATATATATCAAACATACTTCGTATATATATAATATATTGATGGTCAAAGATGTAATTATAACTTTAAGCGTCTTCAACTAAGTACTTAGTATTACCAATAATACACACTAGTGAGCTGCAAGGCCTGCAACTTGGTTAATTATAAAACAATTGAAGAGAATGGGGCCGAAGTCATAAACTAAGAAAGGACGAGGAAGCTTAGCATGATCTAGTGGGCGACTGGTCGGATAGATAAGAGATGGAGAAACAAGAGTCTAACAGAAGTGGATAAAAATGAGAGAGAATGCAAATAGTATTTGGCAGTAAACACAAGGATATCGAGTGTCTAGGTGCATATTCAATGCGCAGACACGGCATCTTCGTGTCTACGATGATCATCTAATTTGATTCTTTCCTGCATGTTTAATCTACGTCTTTCTTCCATTATACAAGTATCTATCTTCTCTAACCTTATTTATTGCGCTCAGTTTAGTGAATCAGTACATACATTCTCTTGTTTTGCAGTTCAATTCTCATACTAACTTCATTTCTGAAAGTTCGACTCACTTACTATTCATGTAGTCAAAATAAAATAACTTTGACCACATGTTATGATTTATATAATACAAATAAATTAGCATGAGTGATCTTATTAGATTTCCCTTATTATAAAGTTTTCATATATCAACTTTTTATAATTTTCACTTATACATAGCCGAAGATATTCATGGTCAAAGATGTTCATTGGAAACCGCACAAGTGCAAAGTGAGTCGAACTTCCAGGAATTGAGGGAGTATATTCATTTCTTGCAAATCTGTTTCCATAACTATCAAGCATTACGATTTTCGATGGATGCCAACTACTATCGTGTAGTTAATTGGTTAAAGTTTTGAGAGTAGAATCCAATATTTTTGATGATTACTTCTCGTCTATAACATTGAGAAAATTTGACTAATTAAAAAATGTACTACGGAGCACTTGCTAATATTAGTCAACACCAAACAAATAGAAAATTTGTGCATTTTTAATTAACACTTATTATATATGACTTATATCCATCATGCCTATTGCGACGATAGCTAAAGTAGATCATGTTGCTACATTGTTATTGATTTTTCAACGATTTTTTTTTTCATTACGTCGTACATTGTGGATAAAATTTACAAAATGACCATCAGATAATTAAGCAATCACTTAACATGATGTATATATAAGACCCTACATGAAATATGAATCAGTAGATGGGGTCGAAACATAGTACGTACTCGATCGTATATATGAATATTATTAGACTACTACCATTGAAGATAAGTGATGATCATCATGAAAGAACATCTCGAGTCACCAGCTATATACTACAGTAGAAGTGTTAGTTGACAGTTGACACCATTAATTTAAGTATCAGTACAGGAAACATGCATCTATGTATATGTATAAGTAACGAGCATTGCATTCCATATATAGTTGGCCCATTAATAATTCAAGAGACGTTATATATACTGTTTAAGATGAGATGTATGTGTTTTGATTATACTTTTGCATAAATAAATGCTTCAGAATTTATGTCTTATACCACTGCTCAACTACAGTTTTAACTTTTTTTTTTCTTTATTATTTTTTTATATTACTTTCATCTCAGTTTATTATTTTACATTTATATGCACCAATAATGAGCAAGTTTCATTGATAATTCTCTTGGATTCCCAATTTTGTAGTAATAATATTTTACAACTTTTAATTTTGTACCTTTTTACTATCTTCCTCATTTAAGATGATTACTGATGATCTTAGTTGAGAATTTGAGGGAACTGGCAGCGTTGAGAATGGCATGCATGCAAGCATGCAAGGAAGAGGAGACCGAGAATAATGCAATACACTCAACTTCTTCAGCTTTTTATGCATTAGAGTGCAATGCATTATTTCGTATAATAGTAAGGGTACCACAATTTTATACAACTATATACGTATGGTATGATTACAAGGGCGAGGTCATAATAAAATTATGGAAAATGCTATACATATTTCTAAGGAGCTTAGGGCTACATATAAGGAGTTAAAAATGGAAAAATTAAGTGAAGTATAACATTAATTATACATTGATTTGCGCATAATTTTATACATTAATTATATTTAGCCTTCCTAAATATAATTTTAATTTTATTTTTTTACTAATTTTTAAACAA